ACCACACCACACTAAATCATACTATACCATACCTCATCGTCATAACACACCAGACACCACACCACACTTAATCATACTATACCATACCTCATCGTCATCTTCATCTATAGGTAATCCCTGTCCCTGTCCCTTTGGAGTATCTTCACAGATTTCTGTCCCAGATGATACGTGTACCATCATGGGGGTCATAAAACCTGACGACAATGCAGACGACAAAGTGGGAGTTTTCTTGGGTATACCATGTGTTGCTGACAAGGGCTTGGACACTGGAGCCTTCCCGGACGCACTGGTCGCCATTAAATAAGACGTTCTTCGCTGCCTAGGACTAGTACCCTCTTGCTTAGCTCTTCTGTCCTCAAAGGTTAGTTGGTTCTGGCTGATTGAGAAATGATCTCCCGATTCATTAGAGATCGATAACTGGATTTCTTCATTGTTGGCTTGATTGGGGAAAACCGACACTTCACTTGAAACTACATAAGGGGGGTTGTCTGAATTGGAGTGACGAGGGTGCTTTGGAGGGTGTGGTCCATCAGAATATTCATCCACGTTTGAACCACTATAGATGGACTCCATAGGTTCTGGCCTACTCTCGAGTAACGTAGCACCCATAGTCGAGGTCTGAAGCCCCCCTGATCGGTCATGATTAACATGTGACGCGATCGTTCGAACAAGATACGACGTTGATTCTTCATTACTTGTCTTTCTAGGTTCTCTAGCTACGGGCTGCCTGGACATGAACTCAGAATTAGTACTAACATTAACAGTGGAAGGGCCGTCTGATGCAACTATTCTCGGAGAAGATACAACATAATGTGGTATTCCATTCGAGACTGGTGTCTTTCCTTGGGGTTCACCAATATTTATTTGAAGCGAATTTTGGTTAATCGATATTTGTGGTCCATTTTGATGCGATAGGTTTTGTTGTCGTCTTCGGCGCTCCTCCCAGCTCTGAATTCCTTCCATCTCTACAGCAGGCAGAGATCTAGACCGTGTTTTGGTCCTTTCTACAACAGTCAGGGAATCACCAACATTAGATCCTCGCTGGAAATGCAGTGCTCTTGGTTTTCCAGTGGAGTCTGTAGCAGCAAAGAAGTAAGTACCCCCACCGAACTGGTTAGGACTGTTGCCATGACTACCATGACTCCCAGTCCCTTTTTGTACGGTACTGTTAGAGTTGTTATTCATCTCATCCTCCTTATTAGATGACGAGACAACATAGGCCCTATTTCCCTGAGCCGTTTTGTCAATTGAGCTCCTCCTAGTTACTATGGGCTGTGCTGGAGTATCTACTGGTTTGTTGGACAGATTGACCGTTAATGATGAGTTCTTCAAGTGACTGTCGGAGGGTGGGGTAGAGGCTATCGTAATGGTAGACATTACATTAGTTTGCTCAGTCTTGTCTCGGTTTGGTTTTGTTTTGGTTGGAGGGGGATGTATTGACTTCGAAGGTGGACTTTCTGATATCACTGGGCTCACCTGGAAATATATATTAAATATAATCAGCTCCTGCTAACGAGAAAACCACCATAGCACTTACAGGATCCTCACGAGATTTCAAAATATTTCTTTTCTTTTTACTTATATGCGGGCCCTATTATCTCTGACAGACCTGGTTTAGAATAATATACCGTGCCGTGTCCCTTATTCCCTTGAATGCACTTCATAGCTTGCTTATTGGAAGATGTAATATAAATAGTCCAGTTTCGAGTTCTCTGTTGCTCAGGCTTAGCCTCGATTTTGTACAAAAAAAAACAAAATTTACTCCAGTGAAGGTCCGTGAAATTTCAAAGCATTTTTATTGTTGAAGTTGTTCATTCTTCACTTTACCGTTGGTATTTGTGAATATTCTGACGTCGAAATGAGGCTAACCCTGAGTAAATTAGTCTGTAATCAAGTAATGCAGCGGTATTGTATGAATTGGAAAATGGTCTATTGTGTGTTGCCTATGTTACTATGCATGCAATATCATCTCATATCCACTTACCATCTGTAATACACACTCTTCTTTGGGTACAATACCAAGCTCAACCGAATCTTGACTAGAAATGGATAAAACAAAAAGAATTTCAAAGCATCAGTTTCAACAAACATATAAATTCTTACTTGGCTGATCAACGTCAGGGTACTGCTAACTCACAAATTGAGTTGGAATTTAGAAGGGAGGTCTTGCAGAGGAAAGAAAGGGAAAAACCCTGAAGTCAAATCCTAAAACCAAAATGCCAATTCCAGAAAGTGAACTTTATACCCCAGAGATGAGAGGCAAGTGTACCACTGCTACAACAACCTTGATGAAACTTATAAGCTGACACATTAACACACACTATGTTATTTGTCTGCAATCATTTTAAGAGGATTAGGTAACAAGATAACTAGCTTACCTTTTTTGGATCATTTCAATGACTTGATGATAGGATTTATTAACAACTTGTAAGCCATTTACAGATACAACTTGGTCACCTACAAAAAGTATTATGAAACACATTACGGTTTTGTCCAAATGACAAATGGCTTTCCTTCATGGTGGGCAGGGGTGTAGTGAGGCAGCAAGGTTGACCACCACAGAATTTTGAATACAAACTAAAATTTTCCTTTTCTCTTTCTTGTGAAGATAAGTATAATTTCTCATTTCATAGCTCTTCTTTAGATATGACTAAAAGTTACTATTTTACACCTCGCATCTCAGCACAGAAGTTACCTGATGAAAGCCCTGCTTTATCTGCTGGTCCACCTGGAGATACTTGTCGAACAAACACAGTGTCAATTGGATGAGGTCTTTTGTGTTCACTGCCAACCTGTGGCAAGGGATGTAACATGATTTATCCTGCAGAACTGTATTCACATAATGGAGGGTCAAAGGCATAGCCTCATAGGTATAATCTTTTTTCACTTTAGACTGTGTGTCATTCCCTAGAGTATGATTCTTTGCTTGAGTTGAATCTCAAGCATAACTGCTACACAAAGAAATAATTCTCAAGGGAATTTATTTTGGTGCAATGTTTTCTCATCACCAGACCACATTGCATTTACTTGAGAATAAGATTTTTTGCTTGCATTGCACCAATTTATTGTGCCTTCTCAAAAGCAATGAATTGGTTCCATTGACCTCATAACAACAGGGGTCAGCCACACTTTAGCAAAGCACTTTAGCAAAGCACTTCACTTGTACAAAAAGAAATGAAAAAGAAAAAATCTACAAAGCTTTTCGCTGTTTTATCACAGCGTGGGACAATCACGACAGAGCTAGGCTCCAAACTAGTTGAAAGTCCAAAGATCGAATTAGAATTTAGGAGTTGATTTTTGAGGAGGGAGGAAAACCGGAGAACCTGGAGAAAAACCCTTGAAGCACAGGAGAGAACCAACAAACAACTCTACTCACATACGACACCGAGATCGGCAGGACTCGAACTCGGGTCGCATTGGTGAGAGGGGGTGCATTAGCAGCGCACGCCACTGGTGCTTCCCATAAATAATACACAAGGAACTCACGTGGTCTGAAATGGAATAGTATTAATTACAGCTCTACTGAAGTCATCAGACTGGGGTGAGAGGCAACACACTAGCAGAGCACATTACCTCTAATACTCTTAAAAGATACACTACTGATGTGGCCCCTCACCACTATGTTGTACAGGTTGTGTGATTTTAGTTTGTTTGATGTGTTATTCCCCAGGGTTTTTCTCAGAGTTCTCCAGTCTTCCTACCTCCATAAAAATCAACAAGTGAGACGAATGTTGTATGTTGTAAATAAAGAATGCAGTGGTAGTGTATGTGGATTGAACCTCATAGAAGAGCCTCATACAGGGAGAGAATGGTTGTAAAATATAAGTTTTTATGTTCATGTCTCACCTCATTCGGGCTCCTAGATTTGATGACTTCAGGAGGATAAACAACAAAGTGTCTCAAGGTAAAGCCAAAACTATTATCAACACGCCTCAGAACCACAGTATTAGCTGCGATGGGTTTTTTATGGCCATCAGTGGAATCTGCTGTAACCAGCTGAACTTCCTGTAATATGTTAAATGAAAACATCACATCCTGTGTCCCTTTCATGATCTACTCGAAGACTAGGAAATTGATTTTTATAATTTATACAATTTACTTAGTAAATAATAATTGGGTACTCGGGGGCTATGTGGATATGTAGATTCTGAGTTTTGGAAGCACACCCCCCCTCCCCCCGTTACATACTCTACCCCTCCAGAATTTCAGAATATCAATGAATATCAAATATAAAAAGACACATCTGATAGTGCTCCTAATTGCTGCTTTGAAAATTGACGGCTTCTTTCTCCCAATAAATCACAAATGGTCCCTTAAATTTGATATCATTTGGAGATCTATTCTTCAAAGGTAAAGTTCAATATAAAGGAAAGAAAAATGATGCAGTCAGTCTAAATACCACAAATATTGAAGATCAATTAATTTCTCATTAAAAAAACCAAGACTGACCTTGTGGGACAATATTCTAGAACAGTGTTCTGTCTGGGGCGTGGATATGACTAAAAAAAAATGATTCTAGTGGATATGCTAATCATTTGATCTTACAATAGTTGTGTTTTGTAAGATGGTAAACACTGTTAATTCTAATCAGGATATAGTTAAAACACAGAAAACTTTTTTTTTGAAAAACTATATTAAAAATATCCTTCAAGTGTCAGAGGTATGTGCCAAATTTCTCTAAGACATAATAGTGAATAACTCTACCTTGGGTGTGGCCCTAGTGTATAAGAACCATATCAATAAGAGAACAAAAAGTTATTGTCAATCTTAATGGATCTTGGCTGTCCTCTGTCATTAGCTATAAAGGTTATCAGGGATATATAAGACTACTATTTTTAGCTCACAGACAAAAACTTTATTCTTGAGGATCATCAAGGTACTATAAATAAATAAATTACATAAGACTAACTTAAGCAATTTTAGGTGCAATAATTAATTGTAAGATCCAATATAGGTAATATTTTCTTAAATTTATGTAAAGGGACCTTCTCAAAATTGTTGTGGATGTGAGGCTAGTATGAAAACACAAAAAGACCAACTTTTTCTATATGGAATTTGTGGCATTTCTTTTGTATTTTCGTGTTAGCCTCACATTTGAGATAATTTTGAGAAGGGTCAATTTTCTTTTATTAATACCGGTTTCATTGTCATTCAAATTTCCTAGCATCTTAACAACTTAGTGAAGGCTTATTATAATAAGAGTTTTCACAAGTATATGTAACTAAAATTAAATAAATCTTTAATAAAGAATTGTGATCCAAACTTAAGTAAGATTTCATAAATGAACATAAAGTTATAAACAACAAAGGGGAATGCATGGTTCTTGTTAGTAAGAGGTATTTTCTGAGTGACCATAATATGGCATTCTGGTTGACTGACCACAATACATTAACTAAGTGATATGTGATACTTCCATTAATTAAATTGTGATCATATGAATTAATCAAATATTTGATTTCAATGGAATAAGATTAAAGTCAAGTCAAATAATTAATCAATTCTGAAGTTTTTTATGAACTAATGATTTTTACTCAATGACAGAGTCTTTAAGTTCTGGCTTGAATATTAAGGAAAATGCACGTATTGGAAGCACAGATGATCAGAGCATTTAATTATATTAGAATTAATAGATCAAGGTTGATTCTTGTGACCAAGCTAGATATCTGAATTATCATATTACACCATTGCCACAATATCAAAAAAAGGCTGTTTATGTTTGTGGCCATTCATATGTTTATAATTATAAATAATAAATTACAACTGATATATATTTACACAGAAGTAAAAGGAATTCTAAAATATATCTTAATTATCTCTGCTCAATATTGAAAATAATCCAATAATAAACATCAGCAGCACAAGATTAAAGAGCAAATCTTGAAAAAACTGGTAAGAAACAAAAATTAATATATTATATGAGAAACTATAGTGAGTACTCAAGTGTGACATTACAAAAAAATAAATTTTGATTTTAATTATTTTCAATCTCTAATTTCTATAGACAATCAAAAAAGATGTTTACGCACCAAATTTGACGAGAATCGGGCAAATATCAGCTGAGACATGACCATTTGAATATATAATTACTCCATACAAATCACTTTATTTTCGGCTTGGTTCCAAACCCTTGGAACTGAGTTTTTGGTGTGTAAACGTCTTTTCTGATTGTCTATCAAATTTGTTAACCAAAAATATGAATTTAAAGCGATAATTAAATTTTGTGAGGTCATCGCTTGAGTACTCTTTTCAGCCATTACTTTATACCTTGAGCAATCATGACCTCGGCAATTAATGCTTTACCCAAAAAATTAAAAACAGACTCAAGATAATTTGATTGCAAGTGAAATGTACCTTGATAATGTGTGGCATTTCAAAGATATGGTTGTGTTTCCAGATATAATTAATGGCTTCTAATTTCATTCACTATTGTTTACACTTTTTTTTTATAATGTTGAAATTACAAGTATCATAGAAATGTTTGAAAATATACAAGTTAATTGCTACAACAGATAACTCAATATAGCACAGGAAAAAATATATCAAAGGAATCAATGGAACATAGATATAAACTTGATTTTTTATGGAAACATGATGTCAAAAGACTAATTCAGTGTGTTCTATACAGTAATCTTTTCTCATCTGTTCAGTATTTAAAGATGTGTCTACTGTGTCTAGAAAAATAATAGTAATTAGTGATAACCTTTTGATTTCATATACAATACACCAGCTTTCCTTATGCATACCTGAACGTAATTACTTTTGTGACCATTAGCAGATTTTATATTCCAGTATGATGATAAAAAAGGCAGTTTGATTAATGCTAAGCTTTTTCTGAGTTTGATAATAATCAGAATGCATTCTGGTCTAGCTTGGGTACACTATAACACCTAATGAGGCTTGATGGAAAAAATATGTTTGTACTGAACTTAGACCACAATGCACCATGTTTACAAACTCAGAAAAGGCCTATTCCTTGATTTGATTTAACATGTCCTGTATATCCAAAAATATTGAATTGGACAAGTAAGTTAAATTGAACAAGAAATTAGATGACGATGATGGGTTAGTCTTCACTAATCAAAATTGAGAGATCAGAGCCACTGCAGCGCTACTCTTTGTTTAAAGATTCCTCTCCATTTATTGGCTGGGATACAAGAATCAATTTCCAAGAAAAATATAGTCGCATAATCTATATAGTAAAATGATATTTTTACATCATTTTTAATCTTTAATTTTACCTAAAGAAAATAAAAGATCAAAATGACTTACAATGATTTTTCAGTTATTTGGAAAATGAGTGACAAGATTTTATACTGAATCAACAAAAGATAATTTTCATAACTATCGTTTTTTCTTCATTAAATCATTTGAGGTGATTACTAGACATATTTCATCGAGTTAGTACATTATCAAATCACCATATTATGCTTCTATGTCCATTGTGTATGGAGAAATAATTGATAACTTAGACAGAGTCAAGGATTAATGGATTACTTATATACACTATAAACATAAGTAAGACTGATTAACAAAGCTGATATGGTATAAAAATATTTGTGGAAAGTCTCACGTATAACTTGGAAAAGGTCTAGAAAATTCAATCCAGAAAAGGATTTCTCATAAGTCTTTCAAAAAAGGCCGTTCTTTATCACTGAAATATTATAACACAATGCACAGTAACTGTGCTAAAGGGGAACAAAAGTATTAATCATGCTGGAGAGGGGAGACATATTTTAAAGTCCCCTCATGATCAAATGAATTTTCTAAAATGTTAAGGCCTCACTCAGTCATATTTTCAGACTTTCCAAAACCCAAATCCCCTGCTTGTATATGAACCCTCCTTGTATATGAAACCTCCTTGTATATGAAACCTAGACAAAGGATTCCAAATCTTCCCATATTTCACCATGATCTGGTGGGCCAGAAACAGTGTACATTTATCTGGTAATCTAATTAAACTGGTGAGACACAGCTACAAAAGCCATGTCTGCAGGATGGCAAGTTAATTTTACTATCACATCAAATATGCTCCTACGTCAACTCTAGCTATCAGCTAAATTCAGAATTTTTTATCCATAAATTTCTATGGTCAACAATATATTTATGGGTAAATAATGAAATTATCATTTGTATGTGATCTACACATATCTATCTTTTTGATATGTCAGTCCAAATGCATAAAATAAATTGAGTACCTTTATTGAGGTTAACCAAATAATTGATAAACACTGCTATCAGTAATATGGCACAGATCCAGGATATAACTGCTATCTGCAGACTGGTTTAAAAGGATTTGTACTTAATATATCAATTTTTTTCCAGTTTGAAATCAGCTTTGACAGATAATAGAATAGAATATTCTTCTTAGCATTATGAAATCATAGTAGATCAAAAAAATGGGGAATATTCGTAAAAAGAATATTTTCGTAAGAGATTAATCAGAAACTGTAGACAAAGTCATCAAATAAGCTGAATCTTTCACAGCCTAATTGGTGACCTTGTAACACCACCTGGCAAAGAAAAAGGAGTAGACTTTCAGCATTTTCTTGATGCCTTATCAAAAAACTTTTTAATGATAAAAAGGTAAATTATACACCGTGAAAAGATGAAAAAACTGACATTTCGGACACTAGTCCTTCGTTGGAGTAAAAGAAACTTCAGTTAGTTTTTTCATCTTTCCACAGTGTATAAYTTACCTTTTTATCATTACTGTTTCATTAGAAACACCGACGMAGYTCACACTAGTTTTTAGCTAGTTATCTCTTCAAAAAACTTTTAGGTATCTTTCAGTACAACTTTTCCATTTATTTTATGAAAAAAATGTCAAAAATTACAATCCATGAACCTAAATTACAGGTAACAACTTGATTTATAAACCATATTTATTGCACAGTGAAAAATCCCTTGTTATAAAAAGCATATAAATATGCTTAACGTTTTACTTCCTTAATAATAAGCATATATGGCAACATTCTGAAAATAACTTGTTATCCAACATTTTTTACATAATACTATCTTACATGTAAATTGGTTTTATTCCTATTTTAGTTTCCACGGAAACTAGTACCCACTTCCATATTCAGAAGAATACATTATGGATTGTAAATAATTTAATACATGTATATTTCTATGATCTAGGTCTGCCCTTACGAGGATGTTAAAGGCTGTTACAGCAACCTGGACAAATGAATTTACTAGAATAAATTACATAAGCATCAGAGCAAAATTAACAGCATATACGAGGCCGTATAAAATATTGTGCTCTGTTTAATCAGTTAATGTAATGTAATGTATACCTAGAGTTCAAATGGTGCTCTGATCTGAAACTATGGGCTGAATCAAATTAAAAAGCTTTTTTTTTATCTCTGATAAGTATGATTAAGGACTTGGGTTGTCTGAAAATATAAGCGCTAACTCAGGACAGTATATCTTCAAGCCTTTAAATTTTATCAAACCCTGAAGCAACCTCTGGGCTGATCAAAGTCAGGGCATAGCTAATTCACAGATCTAACTCCTGATATTATTGGAAGAACAATAAGTTGTATCATTCAAATGTTCTAATAATCTATTAGGGAGCAATTTTTTTGCCCAAGGCTACTTCTAAATCATTTTTTTAAAGATAAACTTGATCCCATTAAAGACAAAGTCATAAACCCAATCACATAGCAGTCACAGTTTTAGAGCCAGACAGAAAAAAAAAGTCCATTTGCAATATGTAACCTTTGTATTTGAGGTGACTTTAAGAAACAGCAATAGTTCTCAAAATAATAATCACCACCAATTATTAGTGTATTCTGTCCTAAACAAATGTATAATTTCCCTGCACATTTAGCTGTTTTTATATCATATATGCTTGTAATCATGTTTAGCTATTGATTAAGGTAATTAGCATTCCAATATCTCAATTATAAATGTAGGTCATTTTCTTGTAAATAATCAATTGGTGAATTACATAAAATAAGTGTTTGACTAGTGGCCAGTTTGATGTTAGAGGTACCATATTCTGAAATAATTTTTTAATGAAAAGATAAATATGTCACTCAAAGCTGTTGCAACATGTACATTTCTTATTATTCTTAAAGATACCATTTTATTTTTCATTCTGGAAATGGGATGAAAACAAGACACTGTGAAAATACAAGTCTCTTAGATGTTATACAGGCACAAACTAGTTCACATAAACTAAGATTAGTGTGTTTGCTATGTTTTAAATTTACTAAGACTGATAAATTTATGATAAGCAGTTATTTGTGTATTTTGTTAATGCAAAATATTGTAAGTATTGCTGAAACAAATTTGAAAGAAAGACTGACAGCTTAATAACAAAGCTAAATCGTTCTTCCTGTTATTTCTTTTTATCTTATTGATTGTGGCTTTTTTCTTCATTATAAAATAGATACTTTAGGTAAGTTCAGTTTATCTCCAGACGAGACAGAATAACAATAACTATTCATGATTATGATCAGCGTACTTGGCTCTCACAAGCTGTACTTTTTACTACACAAAAACAAGAAACAAAAGGCAAAAAAGATTGCAATTAATTAAGACAGGACAACAAAATAGAAAGGTGCTACTTTACGATTCAAAGACAAATCCCTGGTATAAAGGAGATTTCATATTAGCATTTGACAATATGGTTATCAGGAATAACACAGTAATCCATACCGCATGAAAGCCAAAGACACCTCCTCAACCACAAAGTTCACCTCTTATTTTTAACTCCTTATTAAATGTAATTAAAAGCCAGGCTTTGGACATAGATTCATTATCAGCTGATGCCATTTAATTCTGTGTTTTGGAGGTTTTACGACTGAGTAACTACGAGTTTAATTGAAATAACCACTAAAGGGCCAATATCGAACCTTAGAAGGACAGCTCTGAGACCACAAGGTAGTAACATAGTCCTATTTATGTCGCCGTAAGTCGGAAAAATGACATAAACAAAGGCAAACAGCTTTAAGAATGTGAATGAAAATTTAATAAAGGAAAATCAGGATAATGTTACAATGTGTAAATTCATTCTAATGGACCATAAAGCAGTTAAAATACATCACTTTTGATAGGGTAACCAAAAATGATGAGGCAAATTAGCCCTCAGGAATAAGAATTACGGACAATAATTGTTCAAGAAGGGCATTTAATTACGAAGAACGAGGTTATATGATTGGATTAACACGAAGTTGATAACTACTTGCAAAAGACAACACTCGACCAGTCCAATATCTTCGCCAATGATTCCATAATATACAATCGAAACGATTACCATTAGCGCGCTTTATTCAATTTGGTCAGTGATTTTTCTACGCTAAGGTAGAGAAAAATCAGATTTTTGGTTGAAAAACACAATGATTTGCCATCCCGGCTGTCCAGTCTGATTGAACGGTAATAAAAAATAACACAGGACGCCGTCAAACTCAAAGTAAACAAAAGAAAAACGATGTCCGATCGAACTTATTTCAGATAACATAAACACCTTTAAGGGCACGAGAAAAGTGTGGAATCTTTTGGTGGAATAACAAAAGCTCCACTGGCAGCCTTGAGTACATTTTCCGGCTTGCTGGTGCCTTTATTTGATGCAAAAAAGAAGCACTGTGCAGCAAAGACAGATGACAAAAGCTTGTGGCTCGAGTTGACAGTACACACAATCATAGTAAACATAAACATGTCTAAGGCTCTATACTCTGAATTAAAACATGGTATTAGGCATTACATTTTTGAACTACGAAACCCTTCTTGATGCCGTCTTAGAGCACAGTTGGCACAAAATCGTGACAAAATGGCCAGGCCATTTGCCTTTGCAAGAGGATTTTCACGCGATATCGATAAGACTGCTTGCTGTGAAAATATCTGTACGAGTATAGAATAGCGACCAGTGTACCTTGAAAATTCAACCCACTGCCTCCTTCTGTATATAGTAAGTCCAACAAGTAAACAAATACAATGTATCTTACCTCAGTCGTTCCTTTACTATTAGCCATAAATTCCACAACAACAGATAATATCTACAGGCCAATTCTTCAGCCCATTTCGCAGCACAGCTTCGATTAGACCCTTAATGCAATTCCACGGTCGGGACTAACTTTAAATCCTCAATTGACCGACGTTATGTTCAGTCAATATCTCTATCACCCCAAGGCAAATCAAAACAATAAATATGACGACGAATCCAGGCTTAAAACGTGAGTTTTATCAACAAGACATGAGCTTTGAAAGTAGATCTGTAGTAGTAGTGGCGACTCGTGTCCAACTTGATGACCATGAGAGCGACCCACGTCTATTCGTAAATTGGATTGTTTTGCCACTGAAACGATCTTCCGTTAGCTTCAGACGAAACAGCTTCTACATACTCCTAGCTGACTGTGATTTCTCAAACGTCCTGTTCGTAGAAAACCCGTTGGCTGAACGCCCTAAGACCTCAGTGTCCGATGCGAGTTAAAATGGCAAATCGCTGCTCACAAATAACATTCCGCCGCTAAGGCTTCAAATTCCGAATACTTCGACGGCAAATGTTGCTCCGTCAGACCAAGGCAGACAGTGTAGTCAGCATTGTTCCCTAGATGTATGCCTTTTTTGACAGAAAGCGTGGATTCTGACGAATAAAGAACAGAATTGTGAAAGTAATAGCGTAAAATCTGAAACCGTGCTTGTCGTATTCACTGAAAGTCTCTCAGCAAGCTCAACATGGTCACGTGACCACACCAACATTCCGATCCTGCTTTAACTTTTGACTTCAAAATGAGGCTTATTCTATGTCGTCAAAAACATCCAACTATTACCCCCCCTAACATTTGTTTAATAAAATAAGTAACTACAGCTGGATTCCCCTTTCCTCGCTCTTTAACAGTTTTAAGCCTTATAAGGCTAGCGTGCTGATACACTACAGATGTTTGGGGCTTGGTGAGTAAAGGGCTTGTTTCTGTGCCTACCCTCTAGCTCCTTCCGGACTGGAAATTTGATTCCGTGACCTCATAAAAACGACGAAACTAGTAAATTATCTGGGACGTAGGATGATTGAACGATTGAATCACTAAGACCACAAGATATAATTCTCTTGGCTTTTCGTTTTTTGGTTTAGTTAAAGTACTTTTAAATGTTTCTTTCGGGACTTAAAAACACATTGCTCCTCCGGTCCGTACATGGGAACGAAGAAATAGGCAATATTATATCAAAAACTCCTTTATTAATTATGTCAAAAGCTTGGGTTTAGAATCGTTTGGCTTGAGTGACAGAGTATTTTGTATCAGAGCTCTATAGTCTATAGATAGATACTAAGTGAGTCTTAGCAATGATAAAAATGTCTGGCATTTAGCTGTCAAACTGTTGAAGGCTCATTGGTCCAGCCAGACTAGAAATATTTCAAATCAGTAATCTTGTTGCCTTACGACCTTAAGCTCCAAGGGGAGTAAAAAAAAGCAAGGAAAATATTGATGTGTATATAATTGTCACTTTAAAGGATTGCACGCGAAAATATGTTTCTGCTCGCTCATGCAGAACCGGCTAAGGGCTTTAGATATTGACTTTAAAAGTCGACCGAAAATACATTTCGCACTAGATCTTTAAGAACATTGCCTTCTTTGCTTTGAATGCAGAAAAACTACTTATGTATAACCATTCAGACCCATAGCAAGGTCAAAAATATTGGGCGAAAGGGGGCACTGGGGAAGGGCTGGGGACTAAAACGCCCTACATAAAGTAATGACATTTTCAGTGTTCATTGGCAATCTCATACCCAGAGTCCTACAGGCGCCAGCCCGCTCACCAAAAGAGCGAAAATTCACTGGGATCGAGATTGACCAAATCCAAATTCACCAATTTTAATTTATTTATTTGAATGTATGGCCTTATTCAGGCCGCCAAAAATTGCAAAGCCGACTGTATTTCAAGTCGTCTTGCGGGATATTGGGAAAAGTTTTCAATCAGCAATAACCGCGCCTCGGATAGACCTCACTGGCTACGGTAATGCCACTGCGCAAAGATAATGATTAAGGTACTCCGAATTGTATTGAAGCAACACAAATGGCCAAAACGTGTGGGATATCAATCTTGCGTACTTTATCTCGAAAATTTTCTGTCAGTCGTTAAAGTGCACTAAAGGTTTTTTCACAGTGTTGTTTTTTAAATCAAAAAGAAATGATAGTCATAAAATACAAAATTGTTAGAAACCAGTCACTGCGCATGCGTATATTATGAACAGTGACGTCATATATTTATGGTGTAAACCGACTAGAAAAATTAAGGTTCAAAACACTGACAAATTTATATAATTGCGCTCAAACAAGACAAAAAACTGTGCCTTATTAGTATCGAAACCTCAACATGAGAAAGATTTAGAGTCACCGTAAAACACCAAGTTAATGAATAAAGATACTGAAAATATGGATATAAGATATCAATTGACTGAGTTTAAGAAAGAAAATGTTTATAATTTGGTTTCCAATTTGAATTTATGATTTAGTTTTTATTTTCTCCTAATGCAACGTTGTAAGTACGTCTTGACGTCTTCTCTGCGTATTTTCCTCTCGAAGGACTGGAACCAAGCTCGTACTCAGTCCTCCTAATACAGCCTTCCTTTCAAAATGGCGGACGCAAATGGAAATAACTCTATTCTTTTCTTTTTTCTCTTTTACCTTTTTAAACCAGTCCACGGCGAAAAGCTAGAAAGGTAGTGTTAAGATAGTGTATTTTGATCTTTTAAGTCAGAAAAACAATCGTTTTCTTTTTCTTTTTTCTTTTTGAGATTACTACCAGAAAAGCTCTTGGTGAACGAGGTAAAAAGGAAGATTCCCTGTCATCCTTGTCGTTTTGATTATTTTTGTGCCTTATCTATTGTGATCTAATTTGATAGATATTACATCATATGGAATCAGCTGTATACTTATTACAAAACCTCGAAAAGCAGTGCAGTTATGAGCTGAGAATTTCTTATCCTGCAACTGTAAGTCCTTCAACACAGTTAGCTATGTCTCTCCACAAGTCTCATAGGTAGATGTCAAAAATACGTGCGTAACCCAGTAAAAAAACCTGTGACTTAAGTGATATGAGGGGTATATGACATCAGTTTTCTATCTATATTAGAATTGTATTTATAATTTCTGGAAACATCAAACGCAATTATTAAATAAAGTTGTGTCATATTTTTCTTATTAGGTCCCTACAGAGTTTCTTATCAAGCTGATGAACTCCACAGAATATTCACGTAATAATAATGGGAGGAAATTATTAAATACTGAAAAAATAGTCTTCGAAAATGATCAACATAATGTAAGTTACCAGAGACATAGTTCCTATGACACATGGACACTTTGCACAAAAACTATTGTTATATACCAAAATGTCAAAGTCCATTTTTCTCATACTCTGAGTGGGCGAGAGGGTGTCAAATGAATGTGAACAAGTTTCAGTGTTTACTTGGCAATGTCTTTCGGCAGACAACAATATGTTGTTGACTGGTAATAACAATACTGGAAGTGATTTTTTTCTTTGAAACTTGGTACATAACAAAACACTTATTGACTTTAACCTTGGGAAAGCTGTGTGTATTGTGGTCCCAAGATTGTGATGTTTTATGAAGTGAATCCCCTGGTACCAGTCAATAAGGGTTAAATGGAAGTGCCATTTCACAAAATATTGCTGAAGGTTTTGTTGCATGTTCCATGCTGCTTACCAAGCTTTAGATGTATTATATTCATATGTAAATAACCGCGCAATTTAAATTTGCCTGATAAACATGCAGACAAAGTTTGGAAAAATTCCATATTGTTGTGACCTTTGGCTGATTGCATTCACATCACCCATAGTGTAGTCTCCCTCGCATGCGTTTTTAGTGTCGGTCATCACGCAACACGACCGACACTAAAAACGGATGAGAGGGAGACTACCCATAGTATGCCTGAGGCTTGGTATACAACATGCATCAAAGCCTTCACCAGCCTTTTTTGAAATAGCTGTATGCCAATGCAACTTGAGTCTTTCAATAAGTTAATGATTTATTTTATAAAAGCTCATAGTACTATTCTTATACAATTCAGGAGCAATATGCAAAAGTCACTGCCATAAGAACTGGGGTTCCTCTTCATTCAAGTAGGCTTCAAGATCCAGTCATTTATAACATTGGTATGTGCACAAGTTTCACATGGCCCAACTCTTTTCCATCTTCTATGTTTTTTCCATGGGATGTGGTCCTGGTATTTCCTAACAACATTTCCCAACCCTTTTCCATCTTCTATGTTTTGTCTATGGGATGTTATCCTGGCCTTTACTATGTTAGTTAGTTATTACAGGCAAAACAGTATTCTTATTTTATTCTAGTTTTAGAGAAGCTCTACCTTGGCCTTCCTTGGGAAGTTTGGAAAACAGGAATGTTCATCGTCATTACTCTAGCTATAATCATGAAGTATGTTTTACCTCAGTTGCAAAAGTACTTTGAGCTCCAACGTCTTCAGATGCAAAAACAACTCAGTTAATTGGATTTGTGTAGGGGAAACAAATACTTCAAAAAGGTTTTTATCTGCAGCAAACATGGATAGGAAGTTCACTAGATGCGTAACCACTTCAGGAAGCCCTCAAAATACAGAAAAAAGCATTGCGAAATAAAAGTGTGCCGTAAAGTTTCTGAAGGAGCATGCTTCTGTAGCCCTTTAGAAGCTTATACCTTTGCAGGTGCACCGTTTGTTTCAAGGTACATTGGCCAATGAAAGAACAAGGTTGAGTACATCTTTTGCCAGTAACCAAGAAAATAAAAGTCGGATTAAGGAAAGGCACATTCGTATACAGGAAGTTCGACGTGTTTTTCCATGTGAAAAAAAGGCAAAACGTAAATTGAACAAAGTTTTGTAAGATATTAAATATATCTTTTGAGATTTCTTTTTCTTTTACTACGCACTAGAAAATGAAAACTATCTCTAAGTATAGAAATCATCCCCCAAACAGGTCTTAAGAAATCGGACCAGTGAGGATTGTGGGTATACTTGGGTGCTCAAAAAGCTGTACAACACTTGAAACATAGTTCCAAACTTGCAAATTTCTAATGGTTAAAACTTTATCTCCTGCATGTCCGTTGTTGGTATTCAGGATAGCGTGACAGGATATTTGGTGACAGAATGACTTTCTTGGTCTAAAAGGTCAAATATCTTGTCTATAACATACCTCTAGCATTACGAATAACAAGTTAGATTACGCATTATCCTAGAGTGCTCTAATAATAGACCCGTTGCTATGTCATAGGATATCTTTCTATTGACCTTTGTTTAAGGATAGCTTAGCAACAAGGTTTTCTATTTGTACTTATTTCCCCATGTAAGCAAGCAAGCAAGCAAAACAGAGATTATCTGAAAGCCAACGGTTAGCGTCTTCGTGGAAGAATACTAAATAATAATTTGTGGAGGCTTGGTGTTAAGAAAGTTGTAAGCTAAGAAGGGGAATGAAAAAAGCTGTACTTGTGGACTGAGTTGTTTTCCAGGTCGACTCGAATGCCACCACTTCCGTGTTATGGATGAAGTAGTCTTGGTCCGCCAAAGAGCGTATGTTAAGCAGCGTCTCCTCGGACGCGGAGGATTTGGAAATGTTTACCTTGTTAGAGACAAAGACGAGAACGATTTTTTACGCTCTGAAACAAATTCCTATCCAGAATTACAGCCATGCTGAAGCAATACGAAAGGAGTTTCTGGCAATGCTGGTGTCACTTCGGCACCGCCATATCATCCATCTATTTAGTTGTTCCATCTCGAAAACAGGCAAATCACAGCTCGTCGCCAACTTTATAATGGAGTACTGCACGGGAGGAACGCTAAACAAAAGGCTTTCTAAGCCCAGTTCACATGCAGTGGACCTCAAATGGATGATACAGATAGCTGATGCCGTGTCTTTCCTGCACCATAAGGACATCGTTCATAGGGACCTCAAGCCAGAAAATATCTTATTGTCCACTCGAGAGAACGCTAAATTGTGTGACCTGGGTTTGGCTTCCAGCTCTTTGAAAACACTTTCCCCAGACAAGACATCTTCACGAAAGTCGCGTGAGAGTTGCGATTATGACCAGGTAGGGACGCCATATTACTGGTCCCCGGAATTACTGAATGGTTTTGAGTATCGCAAAGAGAGTGATGTTTTTGCTTTGGGACACATCTTGTTTGCCATCAAAGAGCGTTGCTTTATAGATAGTAAGCGACACCAAAGGCTATATGGCGCATTCGTGAAGACCGACCAAGGAGTAATTTCCTTCGGGAGAGCACTACATTGTTCTCCATTCTCTCATCTGGTGTTCAGCGACAACAAAAGCGCCGTCGACAAAGCAATGAGGACAGTCGCAAGTGCTGCTTTGGCTTTCCGTACCGAGTCACGACCTACTAGTGAATATATCTTTCAATTTCTGAAAGAAACTGCTCGATCATTAATCGAAAGTAGGAAACAGCGCAAGCAAACACTACTGAACAACGTGAACGAGGAATCACTGCCATTGGAAAAAGTGAAAGCAATAAGGGTGTGAAGTCTCGTTAATAAAATGAAATGAAATCGTACTGTGAGATCAAATTGGCGATTTATGTCGCCTATTATATCTAATGCAAGAAAAATAGAAAACGGTAAATTTATCCTTATCAGCTGCCAAATTAGGAGTGGTCAGGTAATTTTAAACTGACGATGAACAATGATTTCGTATATATGGGACATCAAAAAGAGAGATTAAATTAAGATATGTTTATATTACCACTAGTAAGAATTCCACCTAAATCAAAGGTGCTTTAATAGACTGTTATTAATGATTATCACCTAATTAATTTATTGTTGCACATTGGAAATAATCATCGTATCAAAGGAGGGAAAATTAAGTGTTGGTTCATGAACAACGTTATTAAAGTAATAAGAGTAAATATAGATGGTTAAGAAATGCGTCAAATTGTTCCAGAGGGAACTGTTGGGTTTGAGGAACGAAACGTTTTGGAGAACCTTGAAAAAAGCCTTGAATCAACGACCTCCGTCATGCACATGCGATGCTGCATTTAGAATCAAACGCAAGATGTGAGAGCACTCACTACCACGGGTTACAACCAATCTACCCAGCTGAGTGGTGAACATGGCACACGAAGCATGAGTGGACAAAATGACCAGCCCTAAGCATTTTTGGGGGTCAAGTGAAATCGTTTTTGTCCTTTTTCATATTATTTCCATATTTCTGCTTCTTGTAGGCCCGTAAATTATATTTCAGTCAAAAGAATACAAAATATGCAAAAGTTGGGTTACAGTAGCCTGGGAATGAGGGTCTGGCAGTGAAACAGCTAAACGCACTGGGATTAGCTGAAACAAAATTCACCACTCAACTCACTACAAGGCGAGCCAGAGAACGCCCCCATACAACAAGTCCATACCTACTCACATGACCTGAGCAAGGCAATTGGAGCTTAAGCTCATTACTAGGTGATCACTAAAACTATATACACCCCCACTGTTCTTTAACAAATCCTAAGACATCAAGTTTCAATCACAATTTTATTTTGTACATATTTACAACTGAATACACAAGCAAATAAATGTCTCACAACATTCAAAACCTGATTCAATATTTTCCAATATCTGAACAAGAACCATTTTGTATTTATTTATATATGCTTGGCACCAAGATACAAAAGTTTCTCTTATCTGTAGTTTATCACTCGTTTTTTTTTTTTTTTTTTTTTTCCATAAATAAAAAAGGAGTAGTCTAATCGAGATTTCATTTTAAAATATGTAAAAGATCAACAGTCATATTAAGGTTTCATATATTTAACTGGTATATTCTTATGCATTCAAAAAATATTTAGGATCTTTGATAATCTACAGTATTTATTTAGCAATGTAGATGATTTTGTGTTTCTCTATTGTTTCAATGTCTCTTTCAAGTTGTTTCATTTCAGTTTCCATGCGTTCTTTCCTGGCTTTCTTTGGTGCTGTATCAGTGACAACTGATAGTCCTTGATATTGATGATGAAGTTCTTCCCAGTTCTTCTTAAGACCATCAATTATAGCTTGCCTGATAGAAGAAAGAAAAATTGTTAAATCCTAATCTTACAAATTTAAGAAAAAATAATTTGTTGGGAGTTGACTAGCTGGTTACGAGTTAGACAGAAATAGTTCTTCATTCTTGTTTGCAAAGTAATTACCTTTCACTGCCTGTTAGTTGTTTCATTGCACCTTGCTGCATTTTGTCCTGTACATAATATTCGTACTCCCTCTGTGCCCTCTCAACCTCTGCCTTTCTTCTCTCTAAGTAAACAGGGCTTCTACCGTAGTCCTTTTTCTGTGTATATTTAGGTGTTAAGCCAGATGGTGTAAGTGGATGAGTGGCTCCCGCTCTGGTATCGACAAATTTCTTTTCAGGTTTTTTCGGTACAGACATAATGTTTTCAACAGCATTAGTGGTGATGAAGTTCTTATTGGATCGTATACCCATCAAAGGTTTTTCAGTATGCTTTGGTACTCCTGGACGCCTGTAATCCTCATCCGTATATTTGAATGGTTTTTCTATAATTAGAAATTGTACTTTGATCAGTATTTCATGGCTTTAAGTGTGATTTGTTCATGCTAATTATGGTAAACCAAACCACAAACAAAACAAAAAAGATACTAAACAAATATGAATAGCAAAACTATCTGATTCTTTAACACCTTTTCTTGTGGACATGACCCCCTTCCCCCAAAAAATATTTGAGTTCCTTGATTTTCCTCCTCTACACTTCAATTCAAATTTATTAGCAACAGAGCCACTACTTACTTTCAGGCAGTACAGGTTCTTTGGAACGTTTTTTTAAGAAATCTGATGGTGGCTGAGTTTCCACCTTTGGTGGTCCCTATTCATTATAAAGAAAAGTATGTCAGTTTATGTAAATGTAATTTCAATTATTTTATGGGGTATAAAGTGCTCTCGGAAAAATAAGTATACAAATTCTCGTTACTCACCATAGTTTTTGCAGTTGTCTTATTGCTGGTATATTCGTCTCTTACAGTTCTAGAAAATTTTGACTCGTGTCTAGAAAATTAAACGATCAGAACAATCAATTACGAAATCTGGTACACATGGCAGACTAGCATAGCAACCATACACTCACAACAACACAGAAACAAACGGGAAATATAGTCATGTATTGTTACATGAAAATAACCGAAATTTAACAAGACAGTATTAACCTCTGGGTCTTGGATTGTGAATAATTTTTGATTTTTAAAACCGTGATGAAATATCTTTAAGGTTTCTTAAAATTTCTAATTTCAGTCTGGAAATGTAAGGCATCCATAGACTCAAAAGCACAGCCAAATTTACAACATTGATTTTCCGCTCAGTTTGTTTTATTCTTTTCAGTAGAAATTAAAATTAGAGAGTCTATATTTTCAACATAAATTTCGATATAAAGAAAATCAGTAGGAACAAGAATATATTCTCAGCTTCGCGACTCTTTCTCCACCCAACATACCTGGCTCCTTTAGTCGCTTGCTGTTGAATTGTCGGAATAAGATTGTAAATGCTTTCCTCCATGAAGTCATTGGTTCTATAAGCTGAAGCTACGGCCATGATGGCTAGATTTTGGGCACGAATAAACTACCAAAATCAATATTATTATTGCCCCTTTGGTTTCGATTCTCGAGTCAAGTAAAATGGCTGCTTCTTCTTATAAAGAGATTTGTGTTGATCCCTTGTTGCTATGGCGATGATTAGCGCTTGGCTGAATTCGATTGGTTAATAAGATCACCTGCTGAGCAGGGAAACTAAAATGGTTTATTCGTATGTTACTATGACAACGTTAGACGACGCGCAAAGACACAGGGATCCCAACATTTATTTAAACCACCGAAAAATCTTTTGAAAATGTATGGGGATTTCTTTTGTTAGCATTTTAAATAAAAATTTAAAGGTAAGGTTTACTAACATAAGTTGACGTCTTCATTTTTTGTCTTTTTTTTCAGGCAATTAACAGTAACAGTATGTAATGGATTGCTTAGCTTCTTCTTTTTCACTCCCTCAAACCTCTGAGAACTATGCGCAAACACTATTCACAAACACTATTCATTGCCCATAATGTAAAAGCGCAAATAGGATTATATTTTTCTGGGAAAAGAATTTTTATTTCGTTCAACTTTACAAAGGTTTTTTTTTCTACGCTCAGCAGAAATACATAATTATGTATTAAGACTTGGCCATGATTTTCCTCTTTATTTTATACAAACACTCGCCAAGTGCCTTTATTTATTACATACGTATAAGGCATAGTCATTATAGATTAAAACTATCATTTGTGAGAGCTGATGTAAGCTAGATGAGTGAAACGTATTAAAACCCAATCAATCTCTCTATAACTTGAAGAAGGTGCGCAGAGACCGATACAGCCTATAAAGGACTAATAATGAAGGCGTTGGTTTAGTCTACGAAGTATCGATTATCGATATAACATGACATTGGGATACTATATATCCGGGGAGTTATTTCATATCCCATTATATGATAAACTACAAAGTATTAATCGATTTACAAGTTTTGCTGTAATTTGTGGGTCAATAAATAGACTCAGATAAAGTACATAAGCTCTGAGCGAACGAAGTTGTTCTTTTCTTCATTCTGTCCAGTTGGATAGGCAGCGACCAGTGCATCCTGCAACAAACAAAGATAATAACACTTCCATTTAGATCATATGGTTTGATAAAGATTCACTCTCTATACTCTCGTATTATCGGAGAAAAAATGGAACAATTTACAATGAAAGGGATACTATAGCTTTGATCCATGGGCTATGGGCTGATCCATGGGATGAATCCAAGTGATCAGGACCTCCCTTCTGTCCCTTCCGTCAAAAATTATTTTAGTAGGATCACCACCCCCGTCCAATTTTTATCCATCTTTTCTTTCATTTTCACAGTAATATGTAAAAGGACAATTCCTTAGGCAGTTCTACTCACCTGTGATCCAATGTAGAGATTATTATATATTTTCCAGTACACATCACGGACTTTTCTTGCCGGATGGAATAGACCCTGAAAGAAATAAAGCGCAATAAGTGATGAAACTGATTAGTGCAGTATCAAACAACGAATCTACATCAAGACGGCCTTCTCAGTGTGCAGGCGTGTTTTTGGTGGGGTGGGGATTTAGAACAACACTGATAAACGCCATGAGCGTATGGCAAATCATAAATCAATGAAGTGTTTTCTCACTATACTCACTAGCATTTGCGTTGAACTTTCAAGCGTGTTAGATTTAGCGCGTAGTTTAACTTATCAAACGTTTGAAGATGGATTGAACGCAAATGGTAGTAATGAAAGTCATGTTTACCTGCATGCAGTATTGTAAGGTTTTGGCTGGCCCGAGAGCAACTCGTAGTCCATCTACTGCCTCCATAACAGCGTTGATGACGTGAGGAGACGTCTCGAAGATATTTGGCCAGATGTAATTCATAAGATGACACAGAGCGTCTTCACAGCCCAGACCAAACACACCTAAAGACATGTGTTTGATGGCTGAACATGCTGTCTGACGATGAACAAGATCCCTAGAAAGAACAAATGAATTTAGGAATGAATTGATGATGCAATAGCAATACTATAAAAAAAGGGATTTCTTATTGGCCTTTCAATGGTTGCGCAAAAAAATTGTAACGAGTAAGTCACGCGCTAAATCATGAGGCTGTAACGCAAGGCATGGCGCATAAATTGACATCTGTTGACAATCACGGCCCGGTTGTACGAAGGGTGGATAGCGCTATCCGACGGATAAATCTTAGGCGGATAAATATATTGGACAAAAGCATCGACTAATCCACTGGATAAGAATTTATCCGTCGGATAGCGCTATCCACCCTTCGTACAACCGGGCCGAGAAGTGGCATCTTTGCTTTGACCAAGTCTCATACTTCGTGTTCCAATGTGATGTATTTCACGCATTTTTTGGTCGACAGCGGATCGTAAAGACGTTATTGTCGCTCTGCAATCATAGAGGAGGTTTTGTATGACTGCGATGACAGCGCAGCGCGCCATCAAGATACAAAACTTACCTATCCATAAGGGCATCTTCTAATAACGTCGTCACAGCATAGATGTAATCTTTTCCCATTTCTCCGATATATTCAAACAGGAACGACAATGACTTGAGAACACCGTTCTGTACATTGAGCTCTGGAACCCGATATTCGTTCATTAAGGCTGGCAGTACAGTGAATGGAGAACAGGTCTCTGCTACGATAGCGATAGCTACAGTTGTACAGACACGATTCTGTCGCTCTTGTACTTTGAGATTGTTAAGCAAAGTAGCAAGTACATCCTGAGGTCTGAAATGATAAGCAGAATAGAAAATAAGATGAATAAAAATAGTATGACAAAAGTGGTCATACATAGTCTTATAGGCGTTGGCATTGCCTTGACCAAGAAAAGTGGTAAAATAGCAGTAAGATGAGAGGAAACGCATTAAAAAAACAAAATAATAAGAAAAGTTGCAGGAACACTGCCTAGTAGAAGAGGGCCTCAAGTTTTTAAATAAATAAAGCCACCACAATACTTACCCAATGGCCTTTGCAATATAACCAAAGGTATTGACTGTTGCTCTTCTTATAGCCTTTTTGTGTGCCTTGAGTAACTCCAGCAGTTCAAAACAGATTCTCATCCATTCTCTAGCACCCACATGCTCGGCACCACGATCTGCTATACGACCAACCAGATCAATGCAGTTTTCTTGGACCTTCTCATGTCTGTAGAGCAGTAGAAAAACAGTTTCTTAGCTTCAACTTAATCATAAATAAATAGAAAGTAACGGAGGCTACTTTCAAAAAGCAAAGGAAGTTATGAATATATTATACCTGTTTTTGAGGATGGGCGTGAGTCTTGGCAACAGATCTTTGATTGGTGGAGTCATCTTGTTCATACCAATCACATTCACCACGGCCTGTAAAATAAAGTATAAACAATAAAAATATGAGACAATCTATTTTCATGTTTGACTCCAATGCCATGATTAAATTTTTTCAAGGTTTCTCTAAGAAGCCTGACTTTTTACTGGTAATTTTTGCAACAATTTACTTTGACATAAGATTACTTTAATTCATGTGAGAATAACAAGGAACTTCAAATTCCCCCTCTCCCCTCTGAAAAAAAAAACACAAGAATTTAGAATGCTACCCTGCGAGCAGAGTTTCCTTTTACCTCCTCTCTTTACCCTCCTCCCATAGACGAGGTAAAAGGAGACTGCTCGCAGGGTATTTGAATGCTTGCTCAATAGATGTTTTCGGCTTGGGCATAATATTTTATCATTTCAGACCACCTGTCATTCCCTAGAATATAATTTCTTTGTTTAATAGTTGCACATGAGAAGACACATGAATAAATTTATTCAACTCAAATAAATAATCTTATTGTCAAGAGAATGACTTGTGGTCAGAAATGGGAAAACATTACCCCAGGCCGAAAAGCTCTTTATCGTTTTAAAATCTTCATACCTTGAGGGCTCCCAAAATACTGCCCAATACTTCAGGGTACTCTTCACCAAGGTATTCATACAATACAACACCAAGATGGCCTAACAGTTTTTCCTGGGAAGAAAGAAGACATTCATTGATATCACTACACATACCAAGCAATCAAGAGAAAATTAACTAAGAGAAGGAATCCCGTGCCCCATCATGTGCACACTTTGATGCTATTTTTAGAATCATTGATGCAATTTTTAACTCGTTACCATGCCCGTGCGATAATCATGCTTCCCTTTAAATGCCTCGTTTTAGGACATGAAAAGTGCCTTATTTCGCTACGTCCACGACAAAAACACAGCCTTTTGTTTACTGCAAAACTGGAAGCCGCCTACCCTCAAGAAATCAACCAATCAGGTTCTTCACTCAAAATATCTCAAGCTAAAAATAGCATCAAACTGTGCACATGATGGTTACAAGGCTACATAGGTAGGATTCCTTCTCTTAGTTCATATTTTCTTGAAGCAATGCTATACAAGTGTTTTGAATGGCAAAACAATTCAATAAGATTTGTTTTTGATGTAATAATTCTAACATTAACTTTTCATCAAAGAAGATTGAAAATATTTAATATTTAATTTTCTCAATCATGTGTCAATATACTTCTGTGAAAATACATCACTGAAGTAATTTTCTTAAAGATGTACTCAACAAACATTACTTTATTCTTGAAGGTCCTAAAAAATTTTACAAATCGGTGTTGTATGTGAATAGTTTTTCTATTGGTTCTCTCCTGTGCTTCAAGGGTTTTTCATCAAGCTCTCCAGTTTTGTCCACACTCCACTAAAAGCAACTCATAGATTCCTATTCCATCATGGAATGCGGGCCACAAGATAGTAAGCCAATGGCTATTAACTGCTACCCTTATGAAAACAAGGAAGAAAGGGACCTTTTGTTTGTTTGTATTAAAACTGATCATAATCTTTTATCCTACCTCTCCGCATGTCATCATGACCTGAGCAATCCTGGAAATCAAGTCTGCAGCCTGCTGTCTGACCTTAGCTGACTTGTTGTTTAAACGCCATAGAATAGTACCACAGATCTGAGGCAAGTAGGGTTTTACTCTTTTGCTCAAGGCATTTACTACTGTGCCAAAACCATTCAACATGACAATATCCTGAAAGACGAAGAAATAACCAAAATGTCAAACTCAACAAACTGGTTCATGTTTTCTCACTAAAAGGAAAGTTTGATAAAAAAAGTCATAAATGAAGACAAAGCTTTATCAGGCTTTAAAAAATATTTGATAACATGCATGCTCTAATTGGTCGAAACACTTGAAGAACCATGTTTAGCTCCATGGTTTTGTTTATTTTTGGCTTTACAGCTCTGTTTGTGTTTTTAGACACTGAAAATCACAGTGCCGTTTTATATTGCTATATTACCTCCTGAGTCTGTTCCTGGAATGCATAGAGTATACCATCAATCAACTGTTCCTCAAGTCTTGAGTCAATGTCAGCTGATCCAAGATTACCCATGATCTAAAATATAACAAATTCCATCCATTCTATAAGTTACATCTTAAGCCATATGCAAAATTGAAGAAATTCTACCACAGAGTGCCACAGAGTTTGATTTTTTTTTCAGTTTGAATATCAAAATTTTTGAGGACAAAATTTCCCTCTTGCAAGTTCTAGTTCATTGGACCTAGAGCGCACACACACTCAAAAAAAAACCCCTTTCCAACCTCCTTAAGGAAGTTTGCTGGAATTGTTCCTGTCTCATGATGGCATAAAGAAGGTTCAAAACCTTAAACCCTTAATAAACTTTGTATAGTGATTAACTCTTCGTTATTTTTATGACAGGATCCCAGCTCTAGCTAAAGCAAATATTATTATATGTTAGTATAAATACACAGGTGATTATTGAAAACTGCACAAACTGATTAGTTGAGAAACTCAGATTATCACACGATAATCAACTCCAGCGATAATCCGAAATGGCAGCCAGCTTTTTTGTCGCTGTTTCTAATTTTAAATGTGTCTTTTATCTTCTTTTTTTCTTTTTTTGAAAGAATCAACTGTGTATTTATACTAAAACAATCATTCACCTAAGGCTCAGTGTATATCGGAATAATAACCTCAACTTCGTTACGGTTATTATTCCCTGATAATTTATTCACTTCGCCTTCGGCGAATAATCGTCAATTATCATATGATGATTATATAAGCCTTGTTTCATTCATTCTACCTTTTCAATAGTTTCCATGACCATCTTTCTGTATTGTTCATTTTCATCTTTCAGATCATCCACAATGCGGTTAATGATTTCAGATGGTCCAACTTTGTTTGCCAGCTCCACAGTGGTGTCAACAAGCTGTAGAAGAAGAAAAAAACAAAGATATCAATATACAATGGAGAAAATTCAGGGATTCTAGATAGCATTTCGTAAGATACATAAAGAACTTGGTTTTATTAACAATTTTTTAATACATTACTAATGTATTCCATCAAGAAATAGCCAGGGTTCTAGAGGTCCCATTGCCACGTTTGAGGCATACCCAAACCAATAATGTTGCAAGACACTTAAATGACAAACAAACTGCATTAGTTTACCTGTCGATAATTTCTCCTATCCAAAGCCATTCTGTGCTGCCAAAAGTGCTTGAAGAAGTCAGGCAGGATATCTTGTTTGATGTAGGATGGTTCAACACCATCTGTTGCACAACACTGTTTCACCACCTGAAACAGACAAATAGTTGATTGAGCTGCATGTATCTTTCTCCACAATAATAAGATACTATAAACTGTGACCAATTACTATGTGAACAAAGCATTTTTCGTGGTCATGACAGCACTGTGTCCAATGATGAATGACTACTGATTTAAATTGCTGGGAGTGGTTCTAGAGGAGGCCACAATTTTTGTGTTTTGATGGTGCTACTTTCAATATTGTTTCCCGATCATAAGAACCCACTGTTTAGCATATCCATGAAGTTATCAGCACCTCTTTTCTCATTAATGAAATCATCCTAACAAATAAGTGAAACTGTTCATACCTTAAGTACAATCTTTTTCATCTCCTCATCTGGACTTTGAAACTCACGAATGAGGATGATCATCACTTCACGGGTATAGTAGTTAGCATACTCTGGATCCATGAGAGGGATCAGGTAACCAATGGCTTTTAAGAAAGCAGCTAGACCCTGTATGAATTAATAAATAATGTATTATACTGTTAGTGTAATAAAACATTCTGCACTACATATAAATGTACTTTGTACTTAAGCACTTTGTCTCAGCATAAAAAGATAGAGGCAAGACAAATATCTTGCTGACAGAAGTTAGACAGCAACTTAGAAAATACAGCAAAGTTACATTCCCCAGTATATCACACTACATTATCGCACAACCCTTGCCAAGGCTTAATGGGTGACCAGCTTACCTTTCCTCTGTGCTGCCTGATACCTTTCCATAGAGGCTTCAGTACACTATCAAATGACTCAATACCATATGGGGTAGCAGCTTCAGCCAAAGCTGCCAAAGCAAGAGCAGTAATTGTTCTTACTTTTTGCTGTTCATCAACGAGACCTGCAGAAAAATCGGAAAACATATTGAAATCTTTATTTTTAGAGTTAGAGTTAATACAAATATATACATAATAGACTTCACAGAATATTCTTTTATTATTAAACTAGAATACTAAGACAGCACAGATCAAAGAAAGTAATTTATTATAGAACTTTTACATGCTTGTTGGACTTACCATGTTCAATAATCTCCACAAGGTTTCTAAGATGAGGTAAAATGGCACAGCCCATAAGAATGGCAATCTGCTGGACAATTTTGATGCCAGTATGTCTTGCTTGCCATGACTTCTTGCTACGGCACACAGCCTTCAAGAATGGCAACAATGATGGAATACCCAAAGCAGATGCTACAACAGCAAAAGCCCTATAAAACAATAGCAAATCTGGAGTTTAGTCAAGAGCAAACATAATCATTACATTGATGCAAAGATAATATCTTTTAGGCAGATTGCTTACCTAGCTGTAGTGTTACGGACATACTCATCAATATTGTCAATATCAGGTCTCATTGTGGAGATCATAGTAGCCAGACCTGCTGCCTGTAAGGTAATAACAAATCAAATTATAACTAGTATATGAGTATTAGGTATATTAGTGCTAGACCACTAGTAGTAAAAAGTGTTGGTTTTGAACACCAAAACAGTGGCAGCTAACTCATGTTTTCAGCCTAATTTCAAAACTGTTCGTATGCATTCATTTGGCCGATTAGTAGACATAGACTGAGACAATTAGACTTCTTGCCCTCATGGTCTACGAGTCATTAGTATATCCCATTAGGGCTTTGGGTCTGATTGTTAATTGGTAGGAATTCCCTAAAATATCTAGGTGCTGAATACGCAGTGTTGTGACTAGACTGACTAGACCATTGACCACAGTGCACCCTAAAAAGTGGGTGAAAAAATATAGTAGACTTTATTGCACAAGACTAGAAGCGGGAGGTTTGAGACTTGAAACTTCAGTAGATATTAGCAAAAAATTGGATCCCTGTAGACAAGAGTATTTGAAGCAAACAACGATGAAAACATACAGGATAAGGTGAGATTTTTAAGCATACCTTGGCTAAGTTAGAGATGATTTCTCTGCCTTCAACTCTTGCATAGTAATCTTCATCAATCAATAATGGTTCAATAACCACAAGAATCTGGAGGAAAAAGTAGTCATAATTTAGTACAACATATCTTATGATAGTTCAGTTAATAAGAATTTGCTGGAATTCAACTTACCTTATGTACAAAAGGTCTGACTAAATCGTCCAGCTTGTATAAAATACGATCAATGACCTTGACGAGCAAGTGACGTTCCTAAAACACAATTTAATCAAATTAAGTTATTAGAATGGTGATGACTAAGCGTGGACTGTGAAACTGAGGTTTCGGACGTTAGTCCTTCGTCGGAATAAGATATTAGAATCTTTAGTTGTGAACCAAGTAGAAACAAACTGAGACAAAACATGTCTAACCTGATCTTCCAGTGTAGGTGACATCAGTAAAGGTAGAATCTGATTGAACAAAGGACCAGCCCCAAATTCTCGAGCCTTGTCAGTTATTTGTCTTAGGGCAGCTTTTCTCATAGGTGGAGTGCCGTTTTTTATCTTTAACAATAACTTCATGATCTTTCTTTCTTTGAGTTCCTCTGGACCTAATGTGCTCTCATCCACATCAACCTATATAAAATCAAGATCAAAATTAGTAAGCAATTTAACAGGTTATAATACACAAATGGAGTTATGAATTGTAGCTATGACTGAGTTGTTACTATTAGATTTTACTTACCAACAGTTTGTCAAAGTATTGGACATCATCTGGCTTGAGGTATGGAAGATTCCCTGGAGGTTGATCTTCCACAACTTTAGCAGAACGATCTTCTTGCTACAATGAAACAAGCAGAATAATTTAGGAACAAACCAAAATACAATGAACTAGAAACCATTAAAGGTATTTAGCAATTAACTACTGTCTAATTCTTGGTCACTGTGATAAAAAAAATATTGGTGTGGGAATAAATAAAATATTGAAACAATTCAATATCCTTGTTCAACCCTTTTTATTCAGAGATGCTCACCTGCATGTAAAAGCCTGTTCCCCCTGCAGGAGTCGGTGTGGCTGTCAGCTTTCGGCCAGGGGTTCTAATTGGCTGATATCCTGGGGGAGGATCTAAAATCTGGATAAAGCAAAGAATTCAAATGGATTAGTTTTAAAATACAGTTCTAAGTGCCTGGTTTGTAAAAGAACCTTGAAAACTCATTTATACCTTGTATCCATCTTTTGGGAAGAGAGTATCAAGCTCTTCATCTGACAAGGGTCTATTTCTTTCATCAATTTCTCTCTCCCATCTGTAAGCTTGCATCTGTTCTGGAGTCATGGATACCAGCTGACCTGAAAAATATCAAAACAAAAACAATGATTCATACAACATAATCCTGATAATTGCCTTGGTCAATAAGGCAGTCACTCGAACAGTCACATTATTTCAAAGATCTGAAAGCCACTATCCCAGAATTACCTGGTGTGGGCGTCTGCATTTGCATGGCAGCAGCCCCAGCTGGCGTCACCCCACTGCTACCAATCATAGGAGTGGTACCACCCATTTGACTAGCAGGAGTTTCATCCCATCTTGAACGTCTTTTACTGGCTGGTGTAGGGGTTGCTCCAGGTGTCTCAGCCCCAGTCCTGTCTGTCCTTGGTGTCTCTGCCCAACCAGGTGTAGAATGACCAGGAGTTTCTCCTCTTTCTGTCTTTGGAGTTTCATCCCAGCGGTTCCTGCGTGCGGATGCCATGCCTGGTGTTGTACTACCGGGTGTAGCATGTCCTGGAGTGGCATGACCAGGGGTTGTATGACTTGGAGTGGCTTCCCATATTCTGGTACTGGGTGTGGCACCTGGGGTTTCTGACCCTGGTCTATGAGGGGTTACCCCTGGGGTTTCAGATCCCTTGGGTCTTCCTGGAGTGTCATCCCAGCGACTGGCTGATGGTGTTGATATCTAAAAATCATAAAACAAAAAACTTTAGGCTCTAGAAATTATGATGCAATTAAAGGTAAAGAACAAGTATAGGAAATAGAATGGTTTCAAATGAGAAACCATTTGATTTTCTTTTAATAATATAACCATCAAAATTTTTTAGATCAAATACAAATTCTCATTTCATGGCGTGAGTTGGAACGATGAAACAAAATTTGCTTGTTTTTTGTTGTTAAAAATACTACTAATAATAATGATAATAAAAGACATTGATTTTAATGTACATAGCTTTTTCTGTGATTTCAACTTTTTGCACTGTGATTTGGGAAAAATCACCGAGTAGCCAACCAATCAGAATCGAGGATTCTTGATGGTCATGTTATTATAAATATAACTATTAACATACATCTGCTTGGTCCCAGGCTGACTTTTTCTTTGCAGGTGCCTCATCGCCCTGTGCTTGCTGGTCCCATCTACGACGTTTCCTTTCTATAAATCAAAAATATCAACATCATAATGGAGCAATTAAAAAGGCCTTTTCATCCAACATCCATCAATCCCACAATCAGTTCATTTGTTACCTTGTTTAGAAGGTGCTGCCTGTGTTACTTGTAGCTCCCCTGCCTTGGACTTATCCTGAATCTGTTTTACTATTTGGGCCTGATAGAAATAAACCCAGAATTTAGATTGATTAAAACAGTTTATTACCACAGTAAAGCAGACACACATAGCATACAAGTAGATAAATAATCCTGAAAGCCAAATCTTTACAGCATGATTAAATATAGCCAAAATTTTCTTAAATGCACAATTTGGTAGGGTTTCTATAATCACAGAGTAATTTTCATCTTGGCCATTCACTCCACCCCTGCTTCCCATAAAACATAATAAATCCAAGTCCTTTTTGTTTTATGGCAATCTGTCCAGTGCACTTACTATTACTATACATTTCATGCTTGTACAAATAAGCAAAATGCACTATGATATTTCGTAGCCATAAAATTTGGTGTAACATGTACCTGATCACGTCGAAGGTCCTGTTCTTGCATAACATCCTTATACGTTCTGACTTGCTTCAGCAATGCTGGATCAGGTGTCTTGCCACCTGGACAAAACACACAAACAAAAAAGAACAAAAAAAACTTCAGTAAAACTCGTATGGATTTGTTTAATATTCTTATGTCAGAGAAAAAGCTACAGTTAATCAATCTGATGACATTGGTGTGTGTGGATCTCTCTTGTAAGTTAAACTGACTCTAAACATTCTTATTGTAATGTCACTGAACAGAATAACCCACAAAAGCCATACACACAAACGTCTGTCTGTCCACCTTAAAGAATCGACATTCTAGGTAAGCAATTTCGCAAATAAGGAATATGGTTCAGATTGACCACTCCAACTTCTTATCATTCATTTGTTTATAACAACATATATTAATGATTTGTTTAGCAGGAACAGGCAGCATTCTACTGTGGCAGAGCACCAACCCTTGCTCGGTCTTGATGGAGAGCCTATCAAGGACAGCCTTCAAAAGTACTGTTATCCTGCCATTGTATTAGTAGAGATGACCTTAACAAAAATTCTTAGAGGTCAGTAATCGACCACTGGGGTAGTATCTGTTCTCTTGTTTTGGAAAAAAATAATGCTTAATTACATCTTACAGTAATCTTATAACATCCCTAACTTTAAAAAAAGTTTTTTAGATAATATTATCTTAAAAGGGTATAAAACTGCTTTGATCTTTCACCTTCATTATTTGGTTTTAGTAGCAATACTAAATAACTATAAAATATCATTATGATCCAAACACTGTCTTAAGTGCTGTATAACCTAGCATATAAAGACACAAGCTGACGTATGAAACGTTCACTTCTTTCTTTCACATTGAAATTCATATCTACACTACCCGTTGTAATCTAAACACAACTTCAATAAAAGAACTATATAATTGTGCTAATATATGACTACATCTACATTTACTTTATCGTAATGTAACATTTTTACATTGCTGGCACAAATACACAATTGCAATGCTCTCAGTTGTTAAACTGAAGTGACGCAGATATTCTTTCCAAAACCAAATGCTAAATGGAAGAAATGGGGAGGCATGAGTATTTTATTGACAAGTAATTATAAAATATATTTGGGGCAGGGGTTTATGTACACACTTTCATTGTTCTAAACCTTTTATACAGCTATTTTTAAAATGTTCCATATCAAGCCACAAAGGTCACAAAAATATTATAATGTTTCTAAACTTTGTCTGCACCTTTTTCAGGGTTATTTTCTTACATTATTTACTGTGTACATACAATATGATCTCTAATACATTCTAAGCTTGTTATACAGCATGTATCAAAAACTTTGCTAGGCTTTATTTGAAATAGCTGTATACAAGGCTTGAATGTGTAAAATCCTTGATGTTTATAAGTTTTACACAAGCTCTACAATTCAAATCATATTTGGTGATTTAGATTCAAAAGTCGTAAAGCTACGTTAATAATTATACAAGTATAATGGTTATGGCACATACTAGTTACATCTTTTTACATGGATTGAGAATAGTTATGTCTGCATACAATATATAGATTTTTAAATTAATTAATATTAATATATGTATACAACTAACATAACAATCATTAGAATCTATACATACCATCAGCAAAGGGGTCAAGCCGTGGCGGTGAGATGATCATCTGTCTTCGTCTTGCCCGATATTCGTCCTCTCTTTCAGCAATGGTTTGCCTCCTGTGTTCTGCAAGTGGATCCACCTGAGAGAATATGGATAAAGTTACTCTAAAAACATAGATCTGTGTTTAATATTCAAGCAAACTTTTCTTGGTAAAAAATTGAAATTGTGGTGTTAAACAATCTAACAGTCTCCAAGAGAATGGTTCTTTGAATGTTGAAGATAAAACTTTGTAATTACATCCACAATTGGTTAGACTTTCTAGGGGCTCAGATGACCACTTTAAATCGCAGTCCTGTCTCTCCACACACATCATTATTAACCAGCATCGGAGGGGTGTAAAAGAACCCCTAAGGATGTAAAGAAACCCTGGCAGTGATCACCGTCAGTGCCTAAACTTCATATTAATCATCTCTCGTGCTTGTAAATCCACAAGAGCAATCTGTCAATCACAACTCAATGTAAAGCGCCTTTGATTTTATCCATATAGAAAGGGCCCTATATGAATCATTATTATTAATCATTATTATTGAATATTCTAAGTACCTGTTCCCCTCCTTTTGCCATGTCATTAAGCACAACCATTGGTGCAGTGTATGACTGTCTCTTTCCTTGTTGCATGATAGATGTCGCTGCATAGTCATCATCATCCTATGAAAAAATAACATTTTAACATTTAAAGATCAATACTTAATTAAAGGATATACTATACAACTCCATAGGGCTCCTAAGTTATGACGTATTTCTTGGCCCAATCACATGAAAAGATCCCTAAAATCTTGCCAAAACTTATTCCCAGGATTGATTCTCTACCTTCATCAATTAGAGTTACGAACAGAAAATCCTGCTATGAAGTAAAAATACAGAAAAAATCTGTAGAAGTAATTATTAATTTTGAGCTTGAAGTTGTTTTTCCTTTGACATATGTTATACTTAACAGCTCTATAAGAATTGCAATGTATAATTAATGATGATAATGATCTATCTGTCTGAAATTTTACACTATATTATATTTGAACATGCAGTTTTGATGATGTCACCAAAATCCTAAATGTCTTTAAAAACAATTTTGTGACAGTCACCTCAGTACTTTATTCTCAAATATCTGATTATCAATAATGAAATAATAATATATTACCACTCATGTAGATCTTACCTCTTCAAGTTCATTGGCAGCAATAGAAGGGACATATCCTGCATACCTATTATAGTAACAAACAGTTAGACTTAATGAGCAAGTAGGAACGTTAGGTTACATTCCATCTCTTCCCTCTACTAGGGAAACAGTAGGGCAAGACAAAATGCATGAGATTTAAATCCCTGAAGATCTTTCCGGCAAAATTTGATGCCCCATCTGTTGCCTAGTGTTTCAACGACAATCAAAGAACTGCAACAAAAATCTATACCCTGAGGGAAATTTCAAACTGACTTAAAGATTTTAGAGGACTAGAGGATTTAAAATCTCTCAAGATATTTTATATTGCAGTTCTTTGATTGACGGCTGTTGTAACACTAGTCCACAAACGAGACATCAAACTCTGCAGGTCGCACTTCAACAATAACAGCAGTAATATCTATGTAAGGCTGATAACTACTGTACAAAAGCCAACTCATTGGGGCTAAAAAACAGCTGGCCAAAATTGGCAATTATCCAGCCAAATGGCTATCAAACCTGTCCTCTTGACCAGTCACATGTTGATCAGTCTGAGGCAGACTGTCTTCATGTCAAGCCATTGAGCAGCCATTATTTTTAGCCTTGGCCATGTTATGTAAACATTCAACATAGATGTGGTTTATCAACATTCCTCAAAGAAACAAATTTGCAATACAGTTATCCCATTGATGTGAAATTTGGGTGCATTCATACTTACTTGTCCCCCCCTGATCCATAAATGTCTGTGTCAAAACGACCTGCAGAACCCAAGCCAACCTGGAAACACAAATATTAAAATATTGGCGTGGTTATACAAAAATCTGGTGTATATGTGCTATTATATATTTTACAATAGAGAAACTTGAGAATCAGGCAAATAAATAACGATATGAAGGAAAATGTAGGAACGTAATTAGGTCGTTTTGCTGGTTTCGTCTTGCTCATGCGAACATAACTTTGACGTCACATGTGGAGTCAAATAGTTACAACTAAATCCAACACAAAAACTTTGAACCATTACAAAATGTATCTTACATAACATTACTTCCGAACAATAATGAATAAGATGCACTTTATATACTTCAAACTAAACATTCAAGTTGACATTATCAACAAAATAGAAATCAAAGTTTTTCATTTCGACGTAAAAAGAACTCACTCGTTCTCCGTCATCGTTCAATCCTTTATCAGATCTTCTGGCTTGTAGTTCTTGGATTTGTTTATCAATCTCTGTATAAGATAAAGGAAACATATGTTATTTAAAATCCTTGCTAAAATTCGAGATCCAATAAGTCGAAAAGAAGCAAAACTCAACACACCCTCATGAGTTGTCGGTGCTTTCGCTAAGGTCGCCATTTTGAAATTCAACTCAAAGAATACCCATCATCCTTTGCGAGTGCTTCATGAGGTTCCCGGATATCAACATTCCCGGATGCAAGAATAACAGCAGGGAACCCATCAAAGCAACTATTCTCAAAAAACGTTACTTTCAATCAATAGCGTCAAGAAAATATATAAATTTTAGATTTTGCTCAAGTTGACAACTTTTTCCGACGTAATTTGGTTATATCCACAGAACGATAAATAAGAAAAGTAAAATGAGTAGCATCCTTTACTTTCCAGTTTCTCTCGATTCTTTCAATTTTATTTTTCAGACTGACTCACTGAAATTGCAAAAAAATGTAGATGAGTGATTTATTCTTGTATTTTCATGTAGTAGTTTTTAATACGTCATCTTACCTTTCGTCTTATTACATCATCGACAGCTGGGACCTAAAAGGAAGAAATGACTAGAGGGGTCATTTCAGCGGCCCATATGCAAGTGGGTAACCACAACAGGTTCTTTGCCCAGTATTAGAAAATGAAAGATAAAATATCGATGTAGACGTCATACTGAGATTACAATGTCATACTTAACTAAATATCAAAATATAGGAATTTCGCGAGGTTGAAATTTCCAAAATTACAAATCATAAATACTTGTGAGATACTGAGTTCCTCTCAAGGTCTTCGAAAATTTAGCATACTAATATATTAATCTTCAATCAATCATTACTAAAAAGTACGGAGAAAGTTTTCTTTCTTATGCGTTAAAAAGTAACGGTCTCTGGATCAGATTTAGAGAAATTTGTGATAACGTTGTGACAATTGCAAGTAACTAGCTCCAAGCAGGGAAGTGTGTAAGACCTGAGTTCTGCATTCAACTTACTGCGTACATGCAAAATAAAAGATGAATTCATGATCGCAGTAAAAGTTGTCTCACAAAAAAAGTTTGTAGGTCGAATAAGATCCTGGCCGATGTAATTATCACCGTTTGACAGTAAGATAATTACTACACCACTAAGTTCTAAACACTGAACCAAAATAACCCAAATAAATTCTTGATAACCAAAATATATAGTTTCGTACACGAATCAGCTGTTGTACACTGAGCTTACGTCTTTGCCCTGAACCAAAACAACCATGTTCCAATGTAGCAGAAAATTCTTTACAAAAACATGCTGTCGTTGCAATATTACGTAATCCTGGGTAATTCAGATACTTTTATCATTGTGGTTAAATATACCGTACGACTTCTTTTCCAAAAGTCAAGGTTAACAAATTCGAATGGTCGAAAAAAATGGATTGTTTTATTCCGGGCTATTTACCCGCGAACATAAAGCTTCAAATTAAGAAACCGCCGGTGTCCGTCGTTTTAAATTTAAAATATATTTGGAAAGTTTTTAGCAGCTTTTTTTATCATTCCTGATTAGTCGTAGTATATTCGGTAATTCTATTCGGGGAAATTCTAGGTCATCCTAATTCAGCCACACGCAGAGATAAAAGAAATTTTGTCTAATTCTAGGCTGTGAGATATACGCAGTTAACCACAAGGCTCACTTGTCGACGAAAATCGTGGACCAATTGTCATCACAGAAAGACCTGCCTTTCTAATCGAAAGTCCATAGCTAAGAGGGATTTGCACAGATACGTTTGAATTACACTATTGTAACGAATTTTCATTTGTTATTGAAAAGGGAAAGTGCAAAGCAAAGTTAGCTATTTCTAACCAACTAGTAAAGGTAAGGAAATGTTTCCATTATGTACCTTAATATGTTCGTCATGGAAGCAAAATTTATTTGAAGTTTCTCTTTGAAAGTTCACGCAAAATGTTCACGCTGTTGCACGAGAAACGAAAAACAAGTCGTCCACTCTGGTAGCAAGCGTTTTTGAGGGAAGAATTTTTTAAATTTTCGGTATTTATGAGGTTGCATTGCGTCATTAGGAATTAAACTTATCGGTTTGAACATACGGGTTTGAAAAGCCAGTAAAAATAGAAAAGAAAGTATAGTCAGGTACTAAAAATACCATAAAATGGCTTCGACCTTGAATGGAATGCAAATTTTTTGTGTGTAGTTTTAATAACGATTATATACTGAACGACTGGGTTGACGTTTCGTAAAAAATAAGCGCGAAAACTGTTGTGAATTTTTTTTGTTCAAAAAATACTGAAATAAAAATAAATGATTCTTTTGGAGCCCAAATTAAAAACCAAAAAGGGGCTTGTCGTCGTAGTGATAATTCAAGGAATTTTACAGGGAAAAAAGCACGAAAGAAAAGCCTTCACTGATAAATTGGCTTTGGCTTAAAGTTGAATTTTACTAATGGCTTGCAGTTGTAATTTGCGTAGCCTTAGTGATACAGAAGATGGGCTTAAAAACGCAGTTTTAATAATCTCAAAAAATCTTTTAACAACAGAGAACAGTAAGATGAGCACCATCCTAAGTACTACGACCAAAGTATCCTACACAGACGTCTATCGTGTTTTGCTTCTAAGCTCAAGTGTTGCTTCATTCAAGATGCGACCTTTCCGTTTTTCTGACAATCAAGAAATACAGAAAATCTACCTTGAAGCCCATCAGAGTTTTGTCTTCCCAGCCTTCATTTCTGGACTCCTCAACCCGTACATCTTTTCTCCTGCACTTCTCGTGGCGCACCTGGTCGCTATAGGAACAGGATCTATTATCTTTGCTCTCGGAGCCTTGGCATTCTTCATCACCGCCATTTATGTGTCCTATGATTTGAAAGTCATGAACCACATCAACCACTCCCTTTCCACTGACCTGGATAACATTGGGAGTTTTTACCAATCAGGGAGAGACGAGTCCAGCTTTTGGGTAGTCGAAACAGAAGGTCGCGTGGCTGGTTTTGTAGGGGTAATCCAGAGAGATGGTGCCACAGTTGAACTCCAAAGACTCACCGTCGCGGCTGAGTTTCGCCGACGCGGCATAGGAGAGAAGCTGTGTCGCCATGTCATTTCTTTTTACAAGCGCAAGAAATTTCGAAAGCTCATCTTGGAATGCACTGAAGTTCACATAGCTGGAAAGAATTTGTACGTTAAGCTTGGTTTTGACGTGCACGAACGAGTTCAAGATCCATTTGCGCTCTCAGCCATTACACTGGAACATTATTCTCTAAACCTTACCTAAAGTAAAGGCGAAGATCGTTCGTGAAGAAGTGAGAGTTGATAATTATCTCTTTGGAGATTAATCTTACTCCAATGGAGTGCAATTCTACTGAGTGTTTGTCCAACAAACATCCACATCCATGGCCGAAATTCTACAGGGTGATCTGAATAATTCATTTGAATTTAAAAACAATCTGTGAGAATATCATCCTCCAGATTAATACCTGGACTAGTTACTGGTCTGTAAATACTTGCACCTTTATACACTGTATAAACGGATTGCCACTGCTATTTATTTATACAACCAGCACTAAAATAGTGCTAAACGCCCCCAAAACTAACTCGCTAAAGTCTTTAGATTTTTACATTTTTATGTGATCGATTAAAGTGCAAATGAACCCTT